TTCAACCAGGCACCATTCCCAGTTGTGAGCAACTCTGCCCTGTCATAATCACATTTCTCTCTCTGCATCACAAGTGTCAAACCCTAGGGGATAAGCCAGGTATCAGCATCGATCAAACCCATGAAAACACTCAGAGCTAGACTATGAATCTCAGGTTAGGGAACAAAATCAAAATTTAACCTACAGTTCCTTTGGAGAGAAAGAAGGCTGGCTAGAGGAAAGAGAAGGGGGAGGAGTGTGATGACCCACTCACAATGTCTTGAAAACACAAACAATACATACAGTAAATGCACCCAAGTCAGCAGCTGATTTTGGCTAACTTGTCACAAATTATTACTGTGGGAACAAGTGGGTATTTGTTCAGCAGAGAAAACAGCAAAGCAACTAGGGATTAAAAGGGAAAGAAAAAGTGGTAAACATATACAGCTGAGTACTTGAAAGGCTTATCAAAGCCAGGCAACCAGAAGAAAGTGATGTCCAAGATCAGAGCTGTTCTAGGTATACCTAAAGCCTGGGAGAATTCACCCAAAGAATCCCCGTTATAAACAAGCAAGGCAGCTCCTCCAGCCCTGAATTCTATAAGACATATGCACACAACTGCGGGATCCTTTTCTGCTACCAAGGAGCATACTTTCTGCAAAACTTCCCACTGCCCATGGGGGGAAGGTTTTGAAAACAAAATATTTTTGGAATTAATGCTTCTGTACAAATAGTTAAAACATTTTCTTCCTCCTAAAAGGCAATCACAGGGGCACTCCTGGACCTATGTGTCAAATAAAACTTCTCACTTTAATAAGGGGAAGGATGTACACTAAGAAAAACACAACTCTCCACCCCACCGCACACATGACAACAGGGTGGAACTTCTAGTTTTCCAGGAGGGCCATCTGGTTCTTACTTCTTCATCAGAAAACTAAGGAAGAGCCCCTGGTAACTTAGCATGGGAATTCTGAGACCTTTCAGACTCTCTGAGCCTCTTTCCCTATTCAGCCACTAGGCTGCCCAAGTTTCATGGAAAAGAAAAAAACTTAAAATATAAATGATAAAAGTGGATTGAGAAGAAAGAGTCAGGGGAATTTTGAGATGTGACTTAATTTAGGAAGGCTTGGGGCAAAGATGAAACAGGTGGGCCTGTTCTGTAAGAAAAGAGAGAAAGGAAGATACCTAGGAGATAAGGCAGTCTAGGTGGGTCTTGCCCTAAACCAAGAAAAAATAAAGCTCAGGAAGAAGGACCACGAAGGGGCAGTGGGGGGAAGACTGATACTGGGAAACTGAATGCACCCTTACACTCCAGGTTTTGAGAGAGATGCAAGGGTAGTAGAATTTAAACATGAACAAAGATGATAAATACTTGAAGAGTAAAAGAGAGAAGATAAATACTTTAAGAGTATAAGTGCAGAAAAGAGCTCAACATCAGACTGGCGTTTTAGGGATGTGGGTTCAAAGCACGAAGGGGAGGCTAAAAAGAGTCTTTAAGATGGAACAGAAAGCAGGATTCCATCCTTAGGGTTCTTAAGTCCAGGCTGGTTAGTAGGGTAACCTTAATTGGAGATGGCAACGTGAGAGAGGGGCGGATATCTCTGACAAGGAACAAGTAAAGTGGAAAGGGGCCGGATGACTCCTGGCTAGAGGCTACATCGCTAAAGGCAGGGGACTCAGGAGTCCTAAGGGTCCCAGGCTAACCCCTAGTCTGGGAATGTCCAGCGTGGGCTCGCAAGGGTAAAAGGCACCTCTGCCAAAGGGCCCGGGCCCCCAGGCCTGAGCTCTTCAGGCAAGAGGGGCCCGGAGGCGGGGCTGGGCCCGAGGCTGGACGCACAGGGCCTGAAGACAGGCGGGGGTCCCACACTCACGCATCAACGTGCTGAAGGCCACGACGCCGAGCAACCCCTGCAGGAAGATGCCGAAACTGTGCATGAGAGCGCCGCTCTCGCAGCGGCCCGCCCCAGACGCGACTGTGGAGGGCGGCCCGCCTGGCAGTCCGTGGCTCGCGTTCCCGGCGGGACCCTGCATGGCCGGCCTGGCCGGAGGGGCGCGGGGCGCCGCAGCCCGCCCGGCCTTGCTGCCTGCCGGGGCCGCGCCACTGAGCCCAGAGCCAGGAGCCCGGAGCCCGAGCCGGGAGCCGGTACCTCCACCCGGCGGCCGACTCAGCGCCGCGCGTAACCCGACGTCTGAGATAACAGCGCTTGATTGGCCCAGCCCGCTGTGGGGGCGGGCCTCTGCCGCTCCGGCTCTCCCCGCGGGGCGGGGCTCCGGCCTGGGCGAGGGGGCGGGGTCGACGGTCCCCGCCCGCAGGTAGACGGACCAGGTGAGTCTGGCTGCGCAGACAGGATTAAGAGCTAGCCCAGACAGTAGAAGCTCCAGGTCCTGAGGCAAGAGCACCGACGGTCTGTGATTAATTTCTTTTTCTCTCGAAGTTAAACCTCTCATACCCTGGACAATTTGTTAATACACCTGGATTCGACCCTCGGAGGTTCTGCTCAGAGGTTCAGCAATGGGCTCCAATAGTCTGCCGTCTAGATTATTCTGAAGCAGGTAGTTAAGGAAAACAATCTAAGACTACATTGCTTCTTCCCTCCAACTCAGGCATTCCAGTGTTTCTCCTACTTTCCTGGCCAAATGCTTGTCAAGGCCCCCACGTCAATTTTTCCTGCATAGACATAATTTATTAAATAAATGGTCTCTTGGATCAAATGTCTTTTAGAAATATAGTAGGGTTACACTGAAAACTTGATGTGCATGCATCCTCACCTTATTCACCTTTAGGGGATACAACTACATTTCAAACATGACTCATAAAAGAAAATAATTGCTATTTGCCAGTCTACAACATCCCTCTGCACCTGGACCATTAACTCTACATAACCCTTTCTAACTCCTTAGAAATTTTCTAACACCCTTTCTAACTCCAGGGACTCTAGTCACCATCCACATTTGCTCTCCTGGCCCCCCCACCTCCCCGCCTCTTTAGATACTTCTTGTTGCAGCTCTAAAGCCCCTATCCTTCCTGCTGGATAATGTCAGTGCACCCATGGTATGAGTCCAGTGTGTACTCTGGCCTACATACGTTGAATAAATATATGTGGGGGAAATCTTCCCTAGCATCAAGAAATTCCAATTACCCAAGAGAGCTAAATACTATCTTAAAGCTTTCATGGTTAGCAGAAACAGTGACCTGATTATCCAGAGGAAAAACATGCAATTCTCCACCTTCTCTCATACATTTCTCAACACTTGCACACCTGGGTACCCTTGTGTGGCATTCTAGCTGGATGGATACTGTTTTATTATTCTTTCTGCTCCATGAACTGCTACTCATATTTCAAGGCCTGACTTTCCTCTCCCCCTGTGCTCCCACATTAACTTGTGTGTACTGCTCCACCCAAACTTTAAAAACTGCTAAATTTGACAGCTGTTCATGTCTGCCACAGCTGAATGTGAGCTTCCGGAGGGCAGGAACTGTTTTTTTCACCCTTGAATTCAATACAGTGCTTAGCACAGAGAACATGCAACAACATGGTTTTTAATTTAAATGGAATTTTAATTTATAAAATGAAAACCTCTCCACAAGTATAAATCAGGTTAAGAACATAAATGGATAAGAGAAAATCAGAATTGCATTACTAAGAGGAATCTTATGAGGATGTTCAACAGTTAATAGTACAAGTAGAGGACCAAGCAAGATGATGGGTCTTAAAGCAGATAACACTGCATTTAGGTATAAGATGACTATTGATTTCTTTCAGACATAGCTCAAGGAAAATTGCACATAGATCTGAAAAATGAAGTTTTTGACAAAGCACTATAGAGGAACAAGAAGCAGTCTTCAGAGACCAAGGGCACAATCCCCAATGCCAGGATCGAGGTCGCTTTGGGAAAATTCTGCTTTTCCTAGGTTTCCTGAACTAGAATTTAAAAGTACCAAAATTGGGCTGGGTGCAGTAACTCATGCCTATAATGACAGCACTTTGGGAGGCTTAGGTGGAAAGATCGCTTGAGGCCAAGAGTTCAAGACCAGCCTGGGCACCATGGTGAGATTTCCCCCTCCCTTATAAAACAAACAAACAAACAAACAAACAAAAACCTGGGTATGGTGGTGCACACCTATAGTCCTAGCTGAAGTGGAAGCATTGTGTGAGCCCAGGAGGCAGTGAGCTATGACAGGGCTACTGCACTCCAGCCTGAGCAATGGAATGAGACCCTATCTCTAAAACAAAGAAAGAAATACAGGGCAGTGCCTGTGGCTCCAAGGAGTAGGGCACCGGCCCCATATACTGGAGGTGGTGGTTTCAAACCCGGCCCTGGCCAAAAACTGCAAAAAACCCCAAACAAAGAAACACACACACATACACACACACAAAGTAAAAAATACCTAAATCCTGAACCAAGTAAGGTGGCATGTGACTATAGTTCTATTTACTCAGGAGGCTGAGGCAGGAGGATTGCCAGAGGCCAGGAATTAGAGACCAGCCTGGGAAACCTAGTGAGAACCTTGTCTCAAAAAACACAAAGTACCTAAATCTAGAAAGCAAAGTATGAGACAGCAAGAGATTGGGAAGAATTTTGGAATTTTATTAAAGTAGGAGGAAAGAAGTTTCTCATCCACTCAGAAATGATTCTCTGAGGCTCCACTGGAAAGAATTTTGAAGAATTTACTCTGGCCAAATGCCTTCCTGATTTGTCAAATCAGGACAAATAAAACAAAGCTTACGACCTGTTTCCTTTAATTTTCTCACAATCACTTAAAACTGTCATAATGTACCACAATTTATATACAATCATATTTACACAAAGAAACCCACGCAATATATTCATCCAAAATATTTTTTTAATCCATTGAAGTTATACCAACAAACTTGAAGGGAGTTATTTTAATAGGTATTCTTGTGCATACTTCTCCTTAAGCGTACTTTATCTTCAATGCATAACTTTTGAAAGTAAGAGGAAAAACAGCAAGCAGGAAGGATACAATGCAATAAGCATTTCATTTTGTTCTAAATGAGCAGCTTAAAAAAAAAAAAGGCAAAATACATTAAACAAAGTGCATCAGTTCCAATGAGTTAATATTAGAAAGTGGCCTAAGGACAGTGCTGGAACCAGCCAGGAGTCCCTCTCTGGCAGGCCTCTGATTGTCTTTAGAGAATATTCAATGAAAAAAAAGAAGAAAGGAAGAGCAAAAGAAATGAGCCTCTAAAATCTCAAGAGTAACATTCAAACTACCTTCATCAGAGATTCATGCAAAATCACCTAAAGGACCACCTAGCTCTAATTTTGCCTAAGTCTTGTAACCTCCCTCAATCATCTTTCAACACTTTTGTCCACCTCCACTCTGCCAAAGTAGGCATGTAGTAAGATTAAATAAACCATCCAGAAACCTTTAGGCCTGAGTTTCCACACATCCTGAGAACAGGCACTCCCATTGGCAAAGGTGGCACCCTTTTACTAGTTAGCATTAGCTTCTCTGCTTGCCTCCCATGGCTCAGGGTTGGTCCATGCTTTAGTGCTGGTGTTAAAGACTTGTCCGGCAAGGCTGTGTGGCTTGTATCCCTTTTAAAACAGTCCTCTGTGATAGGTTATAGCACCAGGATAGACCCAATGGTGTGTTAAGTCAAAAAAGACTTAAGAAGAGGGAATTTTAGGCCTATTTCTACATCCTTCCAACCCCCCACTCCTGGATTTACTGGTTCTTACAAAAATCTCAAGACTTCATAACCACCACAACCAGGAAAATCAGTTTGCAGTGCATTTAATGACCACCACCTTGCACACCTCTCCCTTAAGGCTGCCCTCAAAAAACAAGACCATGGACTTGTGGAATGGGACATACACTGAGGAAAACACCCCAGGTAAGTGGACCTGGAATCAAATCCATTTGGGCTGGGCATTGAGTTAGTTAGAACTCATATGCCAAATTCTAAGTCATAGGTAGCTTATTTGGATAAATTCAAGTTTCCAAAGTATGCACATTCTCACAAAAGGGGTGGGACAGTCATCAAAACTCACTAGTAAAGCATTTAAAGTGAATAAAGGCAAGGAAGAATTATAATCGTAGGGAAGTGACATTTCTTTTTGGTTTTACAGGAGGCTTTCTGTCCTACAAAGTTTCTGAGTCAGCATCATGACCGAGACACATGGCTACTTATAGTAGACCTAGAAATAAATTAAAATTTAAGCTTAAAAGGAGGGTACCTGGTTCCCACCAAGATTTATACTGCATTTCTCATAGTTATGCCTTCTCCTTTATCTTCATAAGGTCAACAAATTTCTTACTGATAACAAGTGTTATATACACATACACAGAACATCTTCAATATATAGGACCAGAGTTCAAATACAAGGTGTGTTTTCACTATAGAGGCTAACCTCCTAAGAACTGTCTTGGGGCTTCTATGGGAATCAATCAAGCCAGTAAATAGTGCCTTAAATAGAAGCATATTTGAAGCTTCTTCATATTTCTTTGGTGATGGGTGATGAATAAATATGTGTCTGTGACAGTTTTCCCATGTAGATTCTCTGAAGTTGTACGCGTCCCTCTATGGGAATCAATCAAACCAGTAAATAGTGCCTTAAATAGAAGCATATATGAAGCTTCTTCATATTTCTTTGGTGATGGGTGACGAATAAATATGTGTCTGTGACAGTTTTCCCATGTAGATTCTCTGAAGTTGTACGCGTCCCTCAGAAACACTTTTTGGCTTGAGAGAGGAAAATGATTCTGAGTACTACCTTACCCAAGGCCTTCTAGAGATTTTAAACTGTATTAAGGTACCACATTAGTGGCTGAATTGGTACTAGAGGGCAAGTAAAATATATTCAAGTCCTCAGGAGACTATGGTCCAATGCCCTTTCTCTCACAGTGAGAATTTTACTTCAGGGAAAAAGACATATAAAAGCCACGATCTAAACAGGTTTTCTATGTTTGCCTCTATCATAAGGTCAACAAATATTTACCAAGAAGCTCATCTTTTCTAGAGGTTGTTGAGTAACCTTTTCTGACTTCATATATCTACAACATAGATGTGTTCTGGGAGCCACTTAACACAACTAAAGCCCCCATTACTGCATTCCTTACATTAGCCACTTCAACTCTGCTTCAAATGAGAAAGATGAAAGTGGCTTACAAAGGAAAATAGCATAGTCCCCAGAAGCTCACAAAATATAGTCAAAATGTCACAGCCAATCTGCATGTGTAGCACAAGGTTTTTCTAGCAAACCAACATAGTAGTAATACGGTCTGATATTGGTCAGCTATCTTTTAGAGGTCCAGAAAGATGAAATGTTCCATTAACATATTTCTAAGCTTGTCAATTAAGAGTCAAAAAAATGGGCCATGAAAAACTTTCTGATCAGGCAGGAAGGATATGGAGCCAACTGCAGGTGAAATCCAGAGATAGTCCCCTTACAGTGTACCATTCATAAGTTTAAGAAGGTGGTCTCTCTAAAAAACAAAGTTCATGCACCTATGTGCACCATACAAACATTTTGCCCCAACACAGTAAGCTTAATATGTTTCAGCATCATAGAAATTGATCATCACTGCTGTCCAGCACAGCCCAGAGCCAGTAGCTTTATGAGGTAAATTAAATTTTAACTTTAAAAAATGCCTTGTGCTAAATTCCCAATTATCCTCTCTTATGTAATATTGGGGCGTGTGGGATAGAGGAATATAATTCCCCTTTGATACAATTGCCTGGTAAAATATGTATCAGTAGGAGAATGCAAGAATTAAAGGAAACCCCACTAGAGTTAGAATCAGCCTTTCTGTAGGAGAAAGCTGAGCTTGAATAATCATGATATAGAATAGATACACCTGTTGGCCCCAACTCTACCCAGATCAGAGGTTATTTCAGGCTCTGTGTTTCACCACCCAGTATCTTCATCCCTTTACCTGTAAAGGGAGGTGATTCTAAATTCTGTGGTTTCTAGAAAAGTGAAAAGAGGGACAAAATAACATATTTGCTGTTCTTACATTTGGTAAATTCCCTCTTATAGTAAATGTATTTAATTTTCCTAAGATAACATGAGGCCCTCAACATTAATTCCATAAACTTTTTGTTCTACTGATCTTCCTCAAGGGACACTCTTTGCTTTATTGCTCTTACTGCTCAGCTCTCAGAATATCTTATTAAGTAAGATTACTACCACCATCCCCACCCTCAAAGCCTACCTGCTTAATGCTGATTGTTCCCCAGCATCATATAATGCTTCTCTTCCACATAGAATTAATCCAATTTTTAAACATCGGATCTCAAAGTTTCAAACATATTAACTTTTACTTAAATGAAGCTTCTTTTCAGATATATCTGGTAGTAACCTCAGCAATGAGTATATGCTTTATTAATATGATTTAGTTGGAGGGCTTTGAGTTAAGGTGGTTCATTTTTCAATTATCCAGTGAAGACAGGATCCAGATGACAGACTATCTGCTAATGTTCATAAAAACAGATTGGCAGGGGTGGAGATGCTATGAGGAGGAGTGGGGAGGAAAAAAACCACAGTCAGTTTAAATTTGTAGTAATATTATCTTATATTTGTATAATTGTTTAGAATTTGCCCAGTTTGCAGTTTTAAAACATTTTCAAATCTTAAGAAGATTTACTAGGTTATAAATTTGCAGGTGACTGGGATAATAATTTAAAAAAACCACTCAGCAAAGCAAAACATTTAAAGGTGACAATCTCTGTATGTGTTTTTCCTCATTTCTCAAGGCTGGAACAGTACAGCAAATGCTATCATTCTATAATGGCTAGCAGTGGAATCACAAGTGAAAATTCATCTAGAGTTTCATGTTAACTTGAGCTGTGTCAAAAGATATACCTAAAAGAACACTGAGTAGTTTAAATGAGAATATTCGGACTACTGATTACATTTAATTTAAAGGATTCACTCAAGAAAAGTGTAAGCGTGACAAGGCAAAGATGTTTCCAGAATCTTAAACCACCTCTCAATCTTTATCCAGTCACTAAGACGACTGCTGCAGAAGTTCTGTTCGACTTGTTCTGCATCATCCCCTAAAACACATTTTCCCTGCTGTGCTTCTACACTTTCTATCTGGACACATCTAGAAAGAAGGGGAAATGGGCTTTACTGTGGGTCCAAGGAACATCTACCAATTTTCACCCCAAGTAATAACTCTAGAAATGAAACAGAGGTAGAAAACAACTCTAGAGAATAAAAGCCATTGAAGTGTCTATGAAAACTAACAGGTAGAGAGCAATGAAGTTGAAATTCTGTCTTTCCAATGCCATTTAACACAGGTAGCCCAAACTGGGTCAATGATGGAGTACAACAGAGTTCTTAGATCAGGTCAGTTAAGGGGGTGGTATTATAAGTGCCCACATAATGTTTTTAAGAAAGAAAATTGTCCCTCCCCCCTCCCCAACTTCTTTCATAGTTTTAGTGTTCATGTAGCTTAAAAATGGCATCATACAAAACCCCTCATACATGGCTGTAAGCGCAATTATCAACAGAGGTAGTAAACAAAGGAACTCCTATGAATAGATTTTAAAATGGATCAAAGTTTGACTATACATTCAAAACCCTACAGCCACATAATCATCCCCAAAATGAACTGTTTTAATTTAAAAAAAGCTTAAAAACACAATGATAATGACGCACTGACCCGTCATAGGCACAGTCCCAAATCAGTGCTGACTTTAAAGCCATGTCCTCTCTCTCCAAGAAAGTGAAAGCAGAGAACAAAGTTCAATATACAATGGGAAGGAATAGAATGAAAACAAAACAACCAAAGGGATTATTTCCAACCGCCTAGGTTATTCTTTGTTTCTGGGTCACAACATTGGAAATCCTTATTCTTCTTATATAAGCCTTTTCCTTACAACTTTTATTTTTTAAAAACTGCAATCTGCTGAACAAGATCAGTCTACATTTCCACCAGCAGAAGAGCCACTTCTGTGCCCAATTTTTGCTTCCTCAATGTGGGTCCTCCTTCCCTAAAAGTGCAAAGAGAACAAGCCGACACCTGCAGGGCCCAGAGCCGCAGGACTATTCCAGCTCCACTTGTGGAGCCAGTGGAAGGATTCGCTGCATTTGTGCTTCAAAGATCCAGCTCACTTTGGTTGTCCTCCTCAGTTGGCAAACTGCTCATAAAAAGCAAACTTGATCCTTTCTATGTGATGGCAAAGTTTGATGGCAGGGCCCAATTTTAAGTCCATGCACTCTTGAACAGTGGGAAGGGTAAGAAGCAACAGGGCCTGCCCATCAATTTCCTGTTGAGACATAAAATACAAATTATCTATGATGGGCACATGAATGGCAGCTCAATCACGACAGTCCCTGTTCACTGTGACTTTGTCAAAATTGGAGTCCTTGTACTTTCCTTTCCTTACTTATTCCTTTTAAATAAGCATTATGGTTGAGCATGGTGGCCCACACCTATAATCCTAGCATTCTGGTAGGCTGAGGCAGGAGGATCACCTGAGGTCAAGCATTCCAGACCAGTCTAAGTAAGAGCAAGACGCCACCTTTACCAAACCATAGAAAATTAGCCCAGCATGGTGGCATGCACCTGTACTTCCTCCTACTGAGGAGGTTAAGGCAAGAGAATCATTTGAACTCACAAGTTTGAGGCTGCAGTGACACTATTGCACTGTCACCCAGGCAACAGAGCAATAAAATAAAATAAAATAAAATAAGTATCATGCATTCCCTTTTAAGTGCCTCCAAAGCCCTCTATACTAATTAAACTTCAGAGTTAATAAAGTTTTATTAGTTTGCCAAGGATAAGAATCCATTCTATAGCATGTTTGCTTGGCAAAAATTCAGTAAACAGTCTCTGTAACTAACTGGCAAGTAATTGTGCCATCTTTTTACAGGGCTCTTTCTAAATCTGAAAGTTTTCTTTGAGACAAAGGTAGGGTACAGTGGCACTGTCATAGCTCACTGCAACCTCAAACTCCTGGGCTCAAGCAGTTCTGCCTCAGCCTTCCAGAATGCTAGGATTATTGGCCTGAGTCACCACACTCAGCCTAAAACAAAATATTAACTATAAACTTCCATGTTTTCCTACTCTGTAACATTCATAAAAACCTGATAAGCTCTTTAAAGATCTTTAGTTTTTAACCTGCCCAAGTGTTAAAAGAAAATTTATTTTAATCTTTATTTAAGGCTACTATTTGTGTTTCAGCAAGCTTGCCTTAAAATTGATCACCACTCTAGAGCCTAACACAATGCAGATAATTTTCTTTTTAAAAAGCAAATCATTGTTTTTGAAAAAATGAAGACAATTAAGCATGGCATGCTTGATTTTAAGCCGTTTAAACATCTGGAGGCTGGAAGTGAATTCTTAGGAAAAATGGAAATGCAATGATAACCTGCTCCAACTATGGAGCAAGTCTGATAAATAACTTTTTATCATCTTCCTATTCCCAAAAATGGAACCAAAGGAATTCTTTTCTTTTGGATGGGATTATTTTCCCTATAACTCATAAATAAATTGACTATTATACCCATGGTTCTTTTCTAAAGAGACATATTACTAAAAATTACAGTATCTGTGATTACCTGGTCTAGGAATATTCGTGCTAATGGAGCACAGTCCGTGGATCTGATGAACCGCACAACATCTGCCACACTCCACTTCAGGGGGTTACTGTCCAGATGAAGCCTTTCAGCAACTTCAATCCTTATTTCCTTCATTCCCCACAACAAAACCAAACCAAATGGTATAAGAGCCACTTTATTCCAAAAAAGTCTCTCTATACACATTTATAATCCTTCAAGACCAGATTTAAAGTGACCTTAGGACATGATTTCTCCCAGCAAAGATAGCAAAGGTCTACACATACTCAAGAAATGTCTGTCTTTTATAGCATAAAATATCAATGAGAAAGAATTTATCTCCAAGTTTCAGCACAAATAATTTAGAAAATTTAACAGAGTAAAATAGTTTTAAAATCTCCCATTTGTTCTTTGGTTCTTACTCTCTGGTAAAGAAGTGAATGGGATAATAATTCCAATGAAAGAAGGCTTACCAAAATTACCAAGTGAAGACACTTATTGCTTCTGTTCATGAAATATTTTTTAAAAGCAATTTAGTTTTAAAATATGAACTTAACTTATTATTTAGTGTGTATGATATATAATGTATACCTGTGCCTATGTATATATGTCTTAAGTATACTAAACCAAATGGCTTAACCAGAAACACAAAGATAATTTATTTCTACAAAACTATGCATATTATGAAAATTACTAAGAAAGTAGTTTTCTCAAAACTATAAGGACAAGCTACAAATAAACTAGCAATGAAGCTAGTTTAAATAAGCAGTTACTATAAGAGAGACTTTCCCCCTTATAAGCATTTGAAAATCACTTCATTATTTTAAAATAAAGAGACCCTGAAAATTCTGCACAAGCCTATAATCAAAGTGGAATGCTAGTGTCATTAACAATTAGATTCTAGAGGGAAATTCTAGGAAAAAAGAAACTAGTTTTAAAATGGTACCTTTGGTGAAGGAGGTTTATTTTCATCATCAGAAAATGAAAAAGTGCGAAGCTCTCTTTTTCTCTTCTGTCTGTCTGGAGGCAGCGATGTGGACATCTCACTTTGGGTAGGAGAAGAGGAACACGACTTCTTTTCTGACATTTCTGACTCTTCTTGCAGCTCGTCCTGTTGCTCAGATGTACTGCCTTCACTGAGGGAATCATCATCCCCTTCATCAGGGTCATCCTCATCTTCACCCCCACTTCCCTGGAGTAAAAGGAGAAAAGTCTCATTGAAATTCAGAACAAACCAGTTTCTTCTTTTTTTTTTTGAGACGGAGCCTCAAGCTATCCCCCTGGGTAGAGTGCCATGGCATCACGCTCACAGCAACCTCCAACTCCTGGGCTCAAGCGAGTCTCCTGCCTCAGCCTCCCAAGTAGCTGGGACTATAGGTGCCCGCCACAACGCCTGGCCATTTTTTGGTTGCAGCCATCATTGTTGTTTGGCGGGCCCGGGCTGGGGATTCGAACCCGCCACCTTAGGTGTATGTGGCTGGCGCCTTAGCCGCTTGAGCCACAGGCACAGAGCCAACAAACCAGTTTCTAGACCACAAAACCATCTTCTATTGGCCAGAGATCTGCATTAGAAATACTTGCAGGTATTTTATCTTTATCTGCTTTGTAAGTGGTCACTTGGCTTCTAGACATTACAGGTACATACCTGGGGAGAGCCTACTGGGGTATTATCAACAGATGCAGAAGAGCGTTTCTTCTTATGAACAAAAACATTTTTCCGCCTCTTTCTCCTCTTACTGGCTTTTTTTAGGGCACAAGCTAAGTTACTATGACCACCAGGTGGCCTCCCAATTCTTTTATTTTTCTTCTTTCCATAATAGTGTGCTAAATGTAGACAACAAAGAAAAATAAAGTAGCTTCATTATTTCTGTGCACCGAAAAACCACAAGAGATTTTATTAGCACAGCAAAAACCAGGTATACTATATTTGACTGAATTTTTAAATTCCATAGAGTGGAAGAAACATAAGTGTACAGTTCAATTAATATTAACACATGCATAAACCTGAATAATGTTCTCATATCAAGATATGTTCTATATGCACAGAACATCATCAGTTCAGAAAGTTCCCAGGGTCCCTTCCCAGTCAGTTCCCTTGACCAGAAGCAAACATTATATGCTGATTACTATGTTTTGCTTTATGGAACCACATAGCAGGTACTTTTTTGTATATGGCTCCTTTCACTCAGCATAATGTTTATAACTTTCACCTATGCTATTGTGTTTATGATGAATTACCTAAATGGATAGCAGTCCACTGTATGAATCTACCAGTTTATCTATTCTTCTGTTATAGGTACTTGGGCTGCATCAAGGTTTCAACTACCATTAATTAAGTTGCAGTGAACATTCTTGGAAGACTTTTTTTATTTTTTGAGACAGAATCTCACTATGTCGCCCTTGTAGAGTCCTGTGGCATCACAGCTCACAGCAACCTCAAACTTTTGGGCTTAAGTGATTCTCTTGCTTCAGCCTCCCAAGTAGCTGGGACTACAGGAGCCCACCACAAAACCTGGCTATTTTTTGTTGCAGTTATCATTGTTTAGCAGACCCAGGCTGGGTTTGAACCCACCAGTCTGGGTGCATGTGGTCGGCGCCCTAACCACTGTGCTACTGGCACCAAGCCCTTGGAAGACTTTTAATGTATTTTAATTTCCTTAAATAAATATCTAGGAATAGAATTTCTAGATCATATATAGATGTATGATTTTTTTCTTTACTCAAAAATCTATTAAAAGATAGATATATGATTAACTTTCAAAGCAATTACCAGTTTCCAAAATGAACATATATGTAATTTTACACTCCCACCAGCAATATATGAAAGCACTAGTTGCTCCACACTTCTGCCAACATGTAGAATTGTCTTTTTCATTTCAGCCAAATTAGCAGATATGTATTAATTCTTCATGGCAGTTTTGATCTGCATTTCTCTGATGACTAATGATATCGTGTACTTTTTCATGTGTTTATTGGCCATTTGTATATCTTCCCATGGAGTACATGTTCAAGTCTTATTCATCTTTAAAAATGTTGTTTCTTTTTAAAAAATTTTTTTATTGAGATATAATTCACATAACATAAAATTCACTATTTTAAAGTATAAATTCAGTAGTGTTTAGTATATGCACTTATGCAACCATTACCACTATGTAATTCCAGAACATTTTGTTTCTCTTTTCATTTATTGATCTATTTGATTTGAGGTAAAGTTCACATAACATAAAACTAACTATGTTAAAAATGTACTGTGGGGCTCAGTGCCTGTGGCTCAAGCGGCTAAGATGCCAGTCATATACACCTGAGCTGGCGGGTTTGAATCCAGCCCAGGCCTGCCAAACAACAATGATGACTGCAACCAAAAAATAGCCGGGCGTTGTGGCAGGCCCCTGTAGTCCTAGCTACTTAGGAGGCTGAGGCAGGAGAATTGCTTGAGCCCAGGAGTTAGAGGATGCTGTGAGCTGTGATGCCACTCTACCCAGAGCAATAGCTTAAGGCTGTCTCAAAAAAAAAAAAGAAAAAGAAAAGAAAAGAAAAAGAAAAGTGTCCTGGTTAGTGGTATTTACCACACTTACAATTTCATGCACTCACCAACTCTCTTTAGTTTCAAAATTTCTGCTTTTTATTATTGAGTTGTGGGAGTTCTTACTATAGTTTGGAGAGAAGGTTCTTCTTGGATATATGTATTAAGAATATTTTTTCATCGCTTCTCGGCCTTTTAGCTAAGATCAAGTGAAGAATATTTTTTCTATGATTCTGGCTTATCTTTTCCTTTTTTATAAATAGTATTATTCAAAGAGCTAAAGTTTTTGATTTTAGTGATGCTTCATTTATTAATTTTCCTTTGTTAGTGTATTTCTAGGTCCTTTCTATGGAATCTTTGCTTATCCCAAGATTTTGAGAATATTTTCTTTTTCCTCTTCTAGAACTGAACAGCTTTAGCTTTTACATTAGGTATACATTTTGGGGTTTTTTTTTTGTTGTTGTTGTTTATTTGTTTGTTTTTTAGACAGAACCTCAAGCTGTCACCCTGGGTAGAGTGTCATGGCATCACACCTCACAGCAACCTCCAAGTCCTGGGCTTAAGTGATTCTCTTGCCTCAGACTCCCAAGTAGCTGGGACTACAGGCGCCCACCACAACACTGGGTTATTATTTATTTATTTTTTTTGGTTGTAGTTGTCATTGTTGTTTGGCAGGCCTGGTCTAGATTCAAACCTGCCAGCTCTGGTCTATGTGGCTGGTGCCTTAGCTGCTTGAGCTACAGGCACGGAGCCTAGGTTTACATTCTTGAATTAATTTTTGCATATGCTATGAGATAGGAGCCAAAGAGTTTGTTTTTGTTTTTTCTATTTGGATATCCAGTTGTACCTGTGCTAATTTTTAAAAAAGAATTTACTTTTCTCAATAAATTTGTCATTCTTGTTAAAAATCACTTAACCATATAAGTTTGGCTCTTCTCTGGCCCCTTTATTCTGTCCAATCACTCATCTGACAATTCTTTAATATCACACTCTTCTGTTTATTGAATTACAGTTTAAATAAAAAGTCAGAGAGAATAAGTCCTCTGGCTTGGCGCCTGTGGCTCAAGTGGCTAAGGCGCCA